AATATTATTACTATATATCATAAACTGTCGGATATATCTTTCCTCTATGAATATTAATAATGATTCGATATTAACGTTAAAAGTGAATTTAATATTCTTAATCCAATAATTGGAAAATAAGTGAGCTAAACATATTATTGAATAAACTAAATATTTTCGTCAATCATCAAAAAACGCGCATAACAAAATAAATTCAATTATTACATTATTATATAATTACATTATAAGTCAATCGCTTAGTAAGGCAACAATCTTTTAACATAATACATTCTTTTATATAAAAAATTCAGATTTCATTCTTCTAGAAATAATTTCGTTAATCATCAAAACGCGCATAACAAAATAAATTCAATTATTACATTATTATATCATTAAATTATAAGTCAATCGCTTAGTAACGCAACAATCTTTTAACATAATACATTCTTTTATATAAAAAATTCAAAATACAAAAATACAACTTTTATTATTCAATAATTCTGAAACATTTTATAAAGATAAATATAATGTATATACATATATATATATATATATATATATATATATATATACACATTATATTTATCTTTATGAGATTGATCTTTATAAGATATAATAGATATAAATGTAATGTATATATATATATATATATATATACATATTATATTTATCTTTATAAAATGTTTCAGAATTATTGAATAATAAAAGTTGTATTTTTGTATTTTGAATTTTTTATATAAAAGAATGTATTATGTGTTAAAAGATTGTTGCCTTACTAAGCGATTGACTTATAATGTAATTAAATATAATATTATATAAAATATGTCTATAAAAATAGATTTTAAAATTTAATTTGCTACATGTTAAAATAAAAAATTAGTTATGACTCGAAAAAATATATATTTAAACATTTAAATGTAATTTAACAATTTAAAAAAATTATTTTATCTTTTAAACATTCGCTTTTCAATTGTTGACAAAAAAATGTAAAGTAATAAAATAATAAAGACAATGTACCTAAAGTTTCTAATCTAAAAATAAATAACGAACGATGCATCATTTATTGCGTTCGATTAAAATAATCAACGTAAAAAACAGGATTATTCACTTTCACCCATTCACGCAACTGTTATGGTGCAGTTGGTCGTTTCATATAATTGACAATTGATAGATAGATATCTTGAGGTAATTTGTGCGTTTTCAAGTGTCGTGTGAAGTTGGTTCGCTGATGGATTGCCTTGTTACAGATGGGGCACACATTTTGCGGATCTATGTTGCACTCCTCTTTTAGATGACGTTTCAAGGTGCACTTTTGAGAGTAGGATTTGTTGCACTGAAAACATGGATATGGTTTCATTTGACCTGAAAGCAATTAAAATCAAATAGTGATTAATACACGCACAATACACATGCATTTGATTTGTTCGCCTTATGATCTTCGCGATGCGATATTGCCACGAATTGACAGATTCCGATCATTCATTTAATCTTCGTTGTAGAGATTATCACTGAAAAAAAATGTATTGTATTTGAATAAGTATATTTATTTCAATACTGCCCAATGAATTATTTATTTGAAGCTAATAATATTTATTTGATATAAGAAAATCTTTTTCAAAAATAAATGATTCATTTGGGAGTATTCAAATAAATATTTAATAATTTTTTTTTAGTGTAGTCTTGATGATTCATAAAGAAAATGATAAAGTCAAACTTAAAAACTTTTTAACTTAAGGAGATTTTTGATGGATAATTCAGATTAATATATCAAAAATAAAATTAAAAAATTATTTATGATCATAATATTGAGAAAAAGATATTTGATCTGATATCGATATTATGTCCTCGTACAATAATCTTCCATCTGGTTGTATCTTCCATGTTGTTCGCAAATAGTGCTGTAACTAGCTTACGCCAAGTGTAAACTCAACAATTTACGTATGATATTTTATAGGGCTTCCTACAAACCTATAAAAAAGTTAAATTTCTGAACTATAAAGACATTTATTTGCTGCAAATAAATACCTATATTTTTTTACAAACTTTTTTAATTTTTTTCATTTTTTCCAAACTTTTATTTCATCGTCTTGAACTCTAATTTTGAATTTTGAATTCTAAAAGCTTGTGTCCGGTGCAAGGACACTGATGACACCGTCCTAATTACGACACTGTCCGCAAGTTATCTTACTTAAACATTGACTAGCAACAAGTTATAAAATATAACTATATTAATTTATTTAATACGACCCAACTGGCACATTACAAAAATAAGAAATCACACAACGTTTCGGCAACAATTACTGACCCTTATCAAGTGTATCTAGTTATTGAAGTAAATTTACATATTAAATATAAACTATTATATCCGCAAGTACCCCTTCCGATCTTAGCGAAGAAGACTACGTGTAATAATGATTATTATGTTCACGTAGTCTTCTTTGCTAAGATTGGAAGGGGTACTTGCGGATATAATAGTTTATATTTAATATGTAAATTTACTTCAATAACTAGATACATTTGATAAGGACCAGTAATTGTTGGCCGAAACGTTGTGTGATTTCTTATTTTTGTAATGTGCCAGTTGGGTCGTATTAAATAAATTAATAGTTATTTTTTAATTATCACTGGCGACTTCAATTGATTGAAGTTATAAAATAAATCAATCGCATGTATTGGGTATAATTTTATTTATCGCGTAATATATAAACAGAGTCATATCTAATTAAGGCCTCGGCGAATATTTCATTTAACATTCAAATCTAAAAATTAGTCAACTTATCACAGAACTTTTTCGTTCACAAAATCGAATTTAACGAAAAGAGATCTTCTAGCGATGCATCGTAGCTTTCCATCTTGAAAGTATCACCTTAGCTCATTTGTAGCGATTACAATTTTTCATCCACTAAACACTAAGTAATAGTAATATAACATCGATGTTATAATTTCCCACTCAACAATGTAACTGGTGCATTACAAGACATGGTATATTGCGGTTACATTGTTGAGTGGGAAATTATAACATCGATATTACTTATAGTGTTTAGTGGACATTTTGATCATTATCAATTAGTACAATTAAAGAATTTTTTATTGTATTTTTATATGCATATCAGTATACGCTAATTCGCATTACATGACAATTCAAAAACCCTCTACCAGCGAGATTACAAACATTATGTTATGTAATAATATTTGAGTCAATGAATAAACTGATATTTTAAGTTATAAGCAGTGACGAATTTATATTTTTGAACACCTTACTCTAATATATTTAGAAAATCTTCTCAAAACTTTGATAAAAATAATGAATATATTTCTTTATTATTAAAATATAATATTATTTATAAATAAGTTTAACACGTTTTTCAAAAATAGATACATAATATGAAATATGTAGTAATATAAAAAAATATAATTAACGTATCATTTTAAGTTCTCAATTATGATTGTTATCTGAATTTGATTCACTTTAATCCAATTAATGCAAATTTTCAAACTAAATAAATTAGAAATGTTCTTGTATGTGATAAATGATAAAATGTATTAATTCTTTCTATTTCAGAAACAACCAATTAATTATAATTTTTATTATTCAGTAATTTAAAAATATTTATCATTTCATAAGGACAAACAAATTCCATTAAAAGAAAATTTCTCGCAAATCTTCTACTTATTGAAAATAAAATATAGTTCAAAAATAATTAAACATTTAATTAATTTATAAATTTTAAGAAGCATATTCTATCAATATTTTTCGAATACTTGTAACTAAAATGTTCACAATATAAAATAAATAATAAAAAAATTAAATTTCCTAAAATTTTAAATTTAAAAACAAATAAAAGAGATAAAGAAAGACTTTCAAAAAAGATAATTCATTACGCTTAATTGAAATAATCCCGTACATGTTACATGGATACATATCTGTGCCAAGAAAACTTAATGCGCGTTTTTAGCTTTACTAGCTTAACAATAAATCCGCCACTGTACATATGTAAGAAAAACAAAGGATAAATATTGAGTAAAACTATAATAATCAAATATAATAGTATTGTAAGGTAAAAAATTTAAATTTTGTGAAGTGCCGCCTTCGATCTCAACAATAATAAAAATTAATTAATCTTCTCTTTAACGAGAATTACATTAATAGTTCTAATTCTTATGCACTAAAAAGTTCTTCAAGAAGTTTCAATCACGTTCTTTCCACACACAGTCGCATATGTATATGTATTTATATAATTTTCAATACATCATCAATATTCTTCCTGTCGATGTACAATCTTCATATTGACAAATTTCGTGAAATGTGCACGCAGTCTTTTAGACATCTTTTAAGAGTTGCAGATGTTTACAAAAATGATATCAACTATGTTTTATATTCCACAGACTTCACAAAATATATCTTTCAATAAACATAAGATCGCTATTAATAATTTCTTTAACTGAAAATTTTATCTATTCTCTCTACAAGTTTATATATATATATATATATATATATATATATATATATATATATATATAGATAGATAGATATGTATATATGTATATATAAAGCTTAAAGAGAAATAATCTACATTTACATCAAAATCATAAAAATATAGCTTGTAATAACTCGAATATATACTTTTTCAATGTACTTTTAAAATAAAATATTTCCTTTCAAAAATTCTGAAAAGTTTAGGAATCTAAGTTTGTTATGTACTGCACGATATATCTTCTAGATGATCATGATTAATGGATCTTTTTTGTATATCTAAATCGCAAAGAAAAATCTTAAAAGAAAATTATTATAATTATCATACACAACAAGTATTATCTGCTATCTAACAAATTTCAATTTTTCTCAGTTATCTGCAGTATTGAAACAGCATGAGTCAATGAGTAATTAATCACATTACGAGAGAGCATTTTGGAATCTGTAGCGCGTTTCGTTATAAAATCGCTCTTTACAGGTGACTCATTGTCATTTCTGTGAGAAGAAGTGGATGATTTTTTGTTAATATAGCTTTTCTTGTCTTCAATCATAATGTAAGATTTTGGCATTTTTTTTCCTTATAATCATCGTATTCTTCTGCATGACGCTTTTCAACATGACGTTCCACATTGGTCTTTTGAGCTGAACGGTAAGCGCAGAATTGACAGACGAACGGAGGACATTTCACACTGCTCTTGCACTCGGTTTTCTGGTGGCGCTTCAGGCTACTCGGGTTTTTATAAGATTTGTTGCATTCTTTGCAATTAAACACATTGGGCTTTTGGTGGTTCTGGTGGCGCTTCAGGCTACTCGCGGCTTTATAAGATTTGTTGTATTCTTTGCAATTAAACGTACCTGAAATTTAGAAAACAGAAACGTATGATTATTGGATCTAGTCTTGATTAAACAGTGATGCAAAAATCATGCGTGATCTTCAAAAGCATTGATGAATTTCTTCAAACACGAAGTTCGTGGCAAGTGTTTGTCTTTATCGCACATGAGTATGAATTAATATGCAAAGGATATCAATAAAGATTTTCATTTTGTTAGTATTGTTAATTATATATATATATATATATATATATATATATATATGACGAAATAATTGAAGGTTATGAATAAAAAGCGCTTAATGATTAATGTCTTCTGGCTGATGTCTTCTGCGATCTTCTAAAATTTCATTTCTCGTCGCTGTGAAATCTTCAAGTGGCTAGGAGAAAAATAAATGATGCAATCATCATAATTAAAATGTAAATTTATTGTGCCTTTATTTACTAAATTTTTTTTCAGATATCTCTCGAAATTTATCCTGCTTACGATTTCTGTAAAACATTGTGTAATTTGTGCTTTACATGGAAAATATAAGCTTGATGCGTTTTTACGACCGAGAAGCAATTCTTGCAAAAATCAAAATTAAAATAAAAAAATCAAAGTCAAAATAAAAAATTAATTTATAATAAATATACTTTTTGAATATGCTGGATATACATATACGTTGCTTAAAAAATCAAAAATCATTGATAGATAATGATATATTTTCTATGATGGATCTACATTTTTTATACATTTGTTAGATTTAGGCGTGTAAAATTATACCACACACGTAACAAAACATAAAGTCTGTAACACCATTTTTTTGCCTGCAATATTAAAAGCATATCTAATTGCGATTAAAAATTGCTCAGTAAAAAATGCGCGAAAAAAACAAGATTTCATAAAATTTTTAAATCTCAATTTTTTTACTACGAGTGTGGCTTCATTATCCTTAAAATAATGGTCTTGCATATCGCGACGTGTTCTATAACTATGAAAACTTGAAGAACCAAAGAACAATAATCCTTACATTCACAGTAATAAAGATTATTTTCAAATTCTTCACGATGGATCTTCTGGTTGTTATAAAGTGTTATAATTTTCACATAAGATAGAGTTAAATAAAAAATATAAATTGAAAAAATGTAAAACGTAAACTATTATAATTTGAAGAATTTATTCAATGGAATATTAGGTATATTGTGTGTGTGAGAACGGTTAACACAAAAATATGATTCTTGAAAGAATTAATTTACCATATTGATAAATCTTCTATCGACGAAAGATAATTTCATAAAAACCACAACAAATAAAAAGAAAAAAATAGATATAACAAACATTTCCCATTAGATAATTGAATTCAACTCTATATCTTAATAAAGTAACATTAAGAAAGTAAAATATGTATATAATAATAAAACATACAAACAAGTATGTTAAGTTTTCAACTGTCAAATTGTCTCCATCGTTATAAATATCGTAAAGATCCTATATCCTTATTACAGCCATAATAAATTATGACATTAGAAATAAAATCATATAAATCTGTGAATGCAACCACTTGTAAACGATAATATGGATTAATAAAATATGAAAACTTCTTCTTTTTGTTCTTTTATCCTGCATAAATAAATGCATGTAACTGATCTGCATATATTTTATATTCTCAGTGAAAATTAATTTTATAATAATTGATCACGATTTACAGCTATTTATTAACGTATTAAAACGAGAATTTTCAGTAAATTTTACTTATACATATTACCGAACATAAAGTGTATTCAGAAAAACTTAATTATTTCGCAAAAAAAAAAAAAAAAATTATATAATCTCCAGCTTCTAATATCATAATTCAGTATGACGTTAATAAAGGACTAAGTGTTTCATTAAATACGTATAAAGCGTAGTATTTTTCTTTATTTTCTATTTATTTTCTTTATGTTTAACGTAGATATGATCAATTAAAATTGATATGCTTCTTTTCTTCTCGTTTTCGATGTTGTGAATTTTTTTCTTATCGCATTTTTTTCTTTCTTTTGTATTTCATAAATCATTAAAAATATTTTATTAGAAATGTTTTGTCAATTAGCCTACATAATCAGCAACCATTGAATGTGTTTTTTCCATTGATTTGATCTTAAAGTATTTTTCCTCTGTATGTCATCACACACAGATGACTACATCTTTAAGTGATTGTTGAACGGATGCTGTGTGTTCATGTGTCTACGCCAGCTGTTGCGCTGCTTAAACTTTCTTCCGCAATAGTTGCATTTAAATTGCGCCATTTTACCACATTCCTCTCGTAAGTGTCGATGTAGGGAAGCCTTCCAAAAGTATTTCCTGCCGCAGAGATGACAAACGAATGTTTTCTGGTCCAATCTGCCGGCCATTACGTACTTGAAAACTAAAAAGGACAAAAAGACTAATGGCAATCAGACTGAAATTAGATATCAGATCGCCTAATATAAACCCAAAAAATTAAAGAAAAACTCTTCTACGAAATTTATAGAGCACTTGAAGACAATATTAACACACATAACATGTTTACTGCTGAAATGTTTACCGGTGAACGTGTCTTCACATAGATAAACAGAAAAAATAAGAAGCATTAACTTATTGAGTTAGTACAAATAAATTTTTATTTTTAATTAATAAAAAAAATTGCACATTGTCAAAATATTCTCGATTAAAAATCTTAGAAGGAAAAAATGCGTCACAAAAATTTTTGGAATTTTATATGTATTTTAATATCTATTAAGAAAATAATAAATATTTATTTTATCTAGTAGATCTCTCTCTCCAGATAAAATAAACTCCTGTCTAAAAAATAAATAAAAATTTTTTGATATTAATTTTGCAAAGTAATATTTTTATATAATAAAAAATATATTATATACCTCTCAAATTTTTCATATTTATATAATTAAAAAATTTTTGTTTTCTATCTTTTTGTTTTTTATCGTAATTTTTATTTTATTGTTTGTGATAATAATATAAAATCAGAATACAATATTTTTCTTAAATGTCAGAAAAAATTGAATACACAAACATCGGGTAGACATATTCAGCTCAAGAAAAGAAAATTATTACAAAATTACATCCTCCACCATTTTAATCACGAAAAGCGACATCATGATTATTTCTAACGTCATCAGATTAGCACGGTTTTTTAATCGTGCATTTGTGGGCTGTGAATGTTATTTACAGTGTTTTATTTAAGAACCGTAGCATATATTATTAGGTTTTTGTTATAAAACTATAATAAATAATCATATAAAATTTCACAAATTTTATGTCCATTTAAATTTGAACGTATAAATAAAAATTAATATACATCCTCTATTTCGTTTTGCTCTCAACAATCTGCCTCTTTTAACTACAATGTCTTGAAGTTAAAAATAACTTTTTAAAATACAAATATTATATTCCATGTTTTCAAATAATATTGTTACATCATAGTCAATTATATATCTCATTTAAAAATAAACAATTAGAAATTTAAATTTTCGATTAAAATTTTCAATCTCGAAAGCAGCACTCGATCTTGGTCGTATTGTCCTTACATATAGCTTCTTGAGATATTTCTTCTTCTTAATATAAACTCAATCTTATGCCAAGTTGGTTTCACCTGAAAAAGAAATGATAAATCGATCAGATCGGTTCCATCGCGCTTTTCGTGTTACTTACCAATATTGTGTATATAACATGATGAGAAAAATTGGCACGTTAGTAATCCTTACGTTGCGCAGATGTGATCTGCGATTGATATTTAAATGCATCTTTTAAAGAATCGAGTTTGGACGCTGTACAAAACGGAGTAAAATACAATATAAATAAAATATATATGTAAAATACAAATTACATAAAATAAGTTACAATTTAATAATTATGTAAAAAGGAACAAATTAAAAAGTAATTATTACATATGGTATTAAAAATATAATTTGCAACATAATCTTTATTTTCGTTTTATAATAATCACTATCCAATAATTATATCCAATAATTATATCCAATATAGTTATTACAACTATTAAAGACAAAATATCCAATTTTTTAAGTCACGTTTATTTATATCATGCTTATTATAACACATAAAGTAAGTATAAGTCAGTAGAAGCAACTTATACTTATCGATATGTTTGTCTACGTTTTAATGTTAAGAAAGCGTTCTTGAAGATCGAAAATATAATTCCTGTTGCACGTCATCTACAATACATTTAATTTTGCGAAACTGATCCCACGCAAAATTATTCTTCTCGTTCATTCAATCACCAAAAGCGGTGACGGTGCACCCTTCCGATGTGCCTCTGTAGATGATGCTTGTACATGAAACGAGCATCGCACTGTTGACAGACGAACTTCCGTGGCTGTCCGCACTCGTACGTTTGATGATTGCGGAGAGACCGCTTCGACAGATACGACTTCTCACAAGTGTCGCACGCGAATCGTTTTGTTGTCGCATTTTCATCCATCGTATTCCTCAAGTTTATATACAGCTCGTGCGGTAGCCAAAAACCTGCAAACGGAGGAAGTAGAAAGCGATTAGAGTCGGTCATTAAACGTTAACGACGACACATTAAAGACACATCATGAAATTGTTGAAATTCTTGACGAATATCGGATGAAATAAATATGGAAAATTTGTGCAAAATTAAGAGAAGAATTTTGTGATGTGTAGAGAATCGTTTTATTGTCGTGATTACGAATGTAATAGAAAATGCGTTTTTTTTTTGCAACTATATGTATTTTTTAAGAAACTTTTTATAATTCTTTATAATTTTTCATAATTTAAAAAAAGTTAAGTTAGGTTTTGTTTAATATGTCTTATTATTTTTGAAAAAAAACAAAATGTGTATTCCTGATACAATTTTATGAGAAAATTATTAAGGGAAGAGAATTATAAAGCAAAGTAATTAAAATCTAAAACATGTGCATAAATTATATAGTTATTTCGTAACTAATGTTCGTAACTAATGTTCGTAACTAATGTTCGTAACTAATTTGTAACATAACAATGAACGTTGATACTGTTAATATTCTATAAAATATATAAGACTTGTTTTGCCATGTTTATAAGCGTAATGTTGGTCATCATCTGAAATAAGAAAAATATATTTTGGTTATTAATTATGCCAATATTTATATACATTTTCATCAAATTTTCACAAATCTATAAACAGTTAACAAATGAAATCTTATTAATAAGTGTTTTTCTTTAATGCAATTTTTTTAAGTAAATAAAGCGAAATACAATCATTAATTATATCTTGATTCCTTACTTAAAATCTTAATATAACAGTTGATCTTATGAATTATAAATTTATTATATATTAATTTATGTTATATATTTACGAAATTACATACCATGTATGTATTATAACTTGTTAAATACTTGTAAAATTGCACAAATTTGTTGCAAAAAAAGAAAAGAAATTCTACAATTTCTCATAATCCATACGTAAAAATATATTTAAACAATTAATTACTAATATAATAAACAGAAATGGTTGTATTCTATTAGATATAGGAAATACAATTAACGAATATTATATTTTTCAAGTTTTTATATTTACAGAAATTTTTATCTTCGTAAAAGTAAAAATAAATATATAAAAATCTATTTCACATTCAAACGGCATAACATAAAAATACACTTTTTGTAATTTAAATTGCTTTACTTTACTTAATACTGCTCTTTATCAAAAACACATATGACAAGTTGAAAGGACATGAAAAAAATTTCTACTTCCTTCGTTGACTTAGAAGATTGCTTACTTTAGACCGTGAATATTTAATTCGATATTTATTTCGATTTATTTTATTGTATTTTATTACTTCTACATCTTATTTCTACTCTTACTGCATTAAACTTTAGCTTATAAAATCATTTTTCCAACATTAAAGTTTCATATAATAATTCATATTTAAATTAAGGTAATTTTATAAATATGAACACGCTATTGCAGAAAAGTCTCTCTAATTTAGTGTTTCTCAAAAAATTTTGTTTCAAAATAAATCTTATAAAAGATTTCAAACTTATATTCGTAAGCTAATTTCAAATACTTTTATGTGACATCAGCTTACTTAATATAACTAAACAACATATAATTATTTTTCTAAAAAAATATACTTGCAGAAAATATGTACATATTAGTGTAGTTTCTTTTTCTTCTGAAAATTATCTATGAATAACTTTGGTCCTTTTCCAAAATATGTTTTTAATAAATAAAACTAGATATATATGTTGAATTATTGTATGTGAATCTTAAAAGCAGTCTCTAATCATGGTTTAGGATAATGCCCTTTTTAAGTTCTTTAAAAGTATAGCAATTAAATTTGCCGCAAATCATATATCTATAACATCAGCATTAAATAAAAATATTATAACAATGCAATTAGATTTCATAGGAATCGGTGTATAGTGCATATTCTATTTCGTAAAATATTCATGATATTAACTTTCTTGATAACAAGAAAATAGCCTATATCAATTTCAATGCAATGTCACAGAGATCACTAATTGTCTTTCTTATTATATATATATTATTATATTATTAATAATATGGGAAATTTGTACGGATAACAATATTATAGTAATGCATTTAGCAACAAAGAGATCTTACATGTGTATATACATATATATACATGCATATACATATATATCCCACAAATCATTGTTAATTAGATTTTAAATCTATGCACTTTTTCTATATACATGTAATATTTTGTAATATATTATTTTAAAATAGAAAAATAACATTGTTCTACAAAAAAGATAAAATATCATAATATGTAATAATTAATTGCAATTAAAATATTGTTGCCACAAGTTTCTAATAATAGAAGTATATCGGAAGGCGTGCGTCTCAATAGCAAATATACAAATCAATATGTTACCAAAGATTGTTATCAATTGTTTTTAAAAGTCATTAAATTAGATATATTTTTTTACTTCTCACTCTTTTGTCAAAGTTGCGAGATCGTATTTATAATTACTGCATCTTGCCATGATTCAAACGATTATTGAAAATGTGGCATCAATAAAAACGATTTGATTAATGCCATAATAAATATAAAGTATCATATAAAGAAACATTACAATTTCATATGCAAATATCTTATTAGAAAGATGCATAGAAATGTTGATAGGCAAATAGTCAAACACACACATCATATCACTGTTTTCATATTTAAGATCACATCTATTATTAATATATTTGAAAATTAAAATTTTTATTCGGTCGTTTCATGAAAAATTTTCTCAGCGCGATGTACAAAACACATTGCGCGTATATAAAGTACAATAAAATAAAATAAATAATAAAAAATATAGACTGGAAAAGATTATGTTCCAATCAGTTAAACGCTTTAACAACGACTAAAGTAGG